TGGGAAAGAATAATAAATAATAGTGAAATTATCGATTGTCATAATTACATGAATTGAAATAATTATCACTAGTTGAAAATTAGAACTAAGAATTGATCAGTGGCGTCGAAAATCCAATACGTTCACACATTTGAATTTTTAAACTAATTTTAATTGTTTTCACAAGTTTTAGTCATAAAAATTATTTAGCTATTCCTTCGATCATCTTTTAGCTACAAACACGAATTTAAATATATCAAATAGACTAAAATTGATCATTATTCCCCATAGGACGATAACTCTCTCATCACGATTATTACTTGTACAACGAATACGTACGCTTGCTGAATTTTGACAAACAAGATCAAAAGACCGGGTCTTCCAATACTTCAAGAAGTTCCATGCCATGGTGGAATGAGAAAGTGGAAAGGTTTTAGAGTGTCAGTAACAGGGGGAATACATATCTAAAGTGTTTGAAGGTTATTGCTCAGAACATGGTATTAGATATGAGAAGACAATCCCTAGTACCCATAGCAAAACGGTATTGCAGAGAAAATGAACTGTACTATTGTAGAAAAGGTCAGAAGCATGTTAAGGATGATTGGGTTATCTAAGTCATTCTGGGGTGAAGCAGTTTGAACAGCGTGCTACCTAATCAATCGGTCTCCACCTGCTCATTTGGATTTTGAGATTCCAGAAAATTACAAACTGAAAAAGATATTTCTTATTCTCACTTGAAGGTTATTGGTTGCAAAGCATTTGTACATGTGGTTAAGGAACAACGGTTGAAGTTAGATGATAAGCTTGTCCTTGCACTTTTGTTGGCTATGGAGTTGCAGAATTTGGCTGTAGATTATGGGATCTAGAAAAGAAGAAAATAGTCAGAAGTAGAGATGTAATTTTTCATGAAAATCAGAAGTTGGCAGATTTTGAAAAATTTGGGATTCAAAGACGTGTTGATAAGGGTGTCACTGACCTTACACCTGTATCTTTGCCTCTAGATAGTGCCAATCAGGCAGTAGAGACACATGTTAACAATCATGCTGATGAGTCAGCAAGGGGGGTTGACGATGATGATTTAGAGGATGTTGAGCAGGGAGAGCAGCCTACTACATCAAAACCTCAAATTAGGAGATCTAACAGGGTGCATCGTCCATCAACTAGTTATCCAACATCAGATTAGGTGTTGGTAACTAATGAAGGAGAGCCAGAATGTTTTCAGGACGTACAATCTCATAAGGACAGACATAACTGGGTGAAGGCTATGTAGGAACAGATGATTTCTTTGAAGAAGAGTAACATTTATGAGCTAGCAGAGCTTCCTAAAAGTAAAATGGCACTAAAAAATAAATGGGTGTTCAAGCTGAAGAAAGATGGTGAAAAGCTAGTGAGGTTTAAAGCTTAACTGATGGTAAAAGGCTTCGATCAGAAGAAAGTGATTGACTTTGATGAGATATTTTCTCTTGTTGTCAAAATTATGTCCATTCGAGTGGTTCTGGGTTTAGTAGTTAGTTTGGATCTTGAGCTTGAGCAGTTAGATATCAAGACTACCTTTCTCATGGTGATTTGAAGGAAGAAATCTATATGGTTCAGTCAGAGGGATTTGAAGTAAGAAGAAAAGAACATATGGTTTACAGGTTGAAAAAGAGTTTGTATGGGTTAAAATAGGCTCCAATACAGTGGAATAAGAAGTTTGATTCCTTTATGGTGGGTCATGGTTATACCATACAGATGCAGATCATTGTGTGTACGTTAGAGAATTCCATGGTGGTAACTTCATCATCCTTTTGCTGTATGTAGATGACCTGTTGATAGAGGGACAAGATATTCAGTTGATTCACAGTTTGAAAGTAGATTTCTTCAAGTAGTTTGACATGAAGGATCTTGGACCAGCAAGGCAAATTTTGGGATGCATATTTGTCGTGATAGTAAAGCTAGAAAGTTAAGGTTGTTACTTGAGAAGTATGTAGAAAGAGTATTGGAAAGATTTAACATAAAGAATGCTAAACCAGTTGGGGAAAGACTTGGTAGTCACTTCAAATTGAGTAAGGTGACTTGTCATGCTAAGGAGGAAGATAAAGAAAGAATGGCAAATATTTCTTACTCTTCTGCGGTTGGGAGTTTGATATATGTCATAATTTGTACACGACCAGACATTGCTCATGCAATTGAGGTAGTTAGCAGGTTTCTTATTAATCCCAGTAAAGATCATTGGGAAGCAGTGAAATGGATATTTAGATACTTGAGAGATACATCTAAGATGTACTTAACTTTTGGATGTTCAAAACCAATTTTGGAGGGTTTTACAGATGCAGCTATGGCTGGTGATCTTGATGGTAGAAAATCAATTTCATGAAATTTGATTACTTTTGCATGGAGAGCTGTCTCATGACAGTCAAAATTACATGTGTGTTGCCTTATCTACAACTGAGATTGAGTATATTGTAGCAACTGAAGCATCGAAAGAAATGCTTTGGATGAAACGATTTCTCCAAGATTTGGGTTTGAAGCAAGATGTGTATGTAGTTAATTATGGCAATTAGAGTTCATTAAACTTGAGCAAAAATGTTAATTATCATTCTCGGACGAAGCACATTGATGTGATATATCATTGGCTACCACAAATATTGGCAAAACAATTGATATTGTTAGAGAAGATTCATATAGAGAAGAATCTAGCTGATATGATGACAAAAGTTGTGATCACAAAAAAGCTTGAGCTTTGTACTGAACTGGTTGGCATTGACTCTAACTAATCTGTTAGATGAAAATCTCCTTCCTCGGTGGGCTGAAGAGAGAGATTGTTTTATGGGCTTGTCCAGCCCATGAGGAAAAGAGAGCCCAATCCTCTTTACTTTTAATTTAGGTTAAAAAAAAGGGTGGCAACACATATAAAAATCACAAAACCGTGGCTGTTGGGTAGGTATCTTCAAAAATTCTGTGGCTGCTACATAGAAAGTTGAGAGACTAGGGCTAAAAATAAAAAAAGAAAACCAAGTTGCTGAAAGAAGGAAAAATAATTGGTACAGAAGTTTTTTTTATCAATTGGGTGTAGATTCACACAAGGTTTTTCTTCTCTACATAATACGAATTGGAATTTTCTATAAGGTGCATTTTGGATAATCTAAAGATGTAGTATTCAAAGTGCGTTCTCAGAAGTTTAAGCAAATTAGTGATTTGTGGAGAGATAAATTGTTGTCTTAGAGATTAATTATTGTGGTATTTCCAATTTGTTGAGAATTCAAGTTTTGGGACATAAACAAAACTTGAATATTGTATTCTATATTTTTGTTATAATGGATTTTGGTCAGAGTTGTCCCGTGATTTTTTTCCCCNTTTGGTTGTTAGAGTAGTAATGGTGATGGTCCTCGTGTGGTTGGCGATGGCAGATCTGATGACTTGGTGTGTGGTGTTCGGCATTGGTGACGGTGGTTTGTGTCACAGATTTTTTGGTTGATTGTGACTATTAAATTGGTTAATCTGTGACCAATAAACAAATATATGACCGATGAAAAAGATAAATTGTGATCAATGTTACCTAAAAATATATTAATTTGTGACCATCTAATAAAATTTTGACCTAAAGTATTTGTGAGTTGTAATCGATACATAAATGGTGACATATTAATATTTGATAGGTGACCGATTAACAAACTGTAACCTAAAATTTTTTTGAATTGTGACTGTAAAATAATTTGTCATTTAAAAATTATGATTTGTGATCGAAAAATATTATGAGATTAATTAAATTGTGAATTCGTGACCAAATTGTATAGATATGTGACCTTAATATATTTAATTAATAAAATATATAATTAATTAATTAATTATATTAAATATCTGATTTTTGAAAGTTCAAACCTTCATTCTTAATTTTGAAATAGACCATACTTATCCTCCTACTTTTGAAACTTTCCCTTTCGATTTCTTGTAATCCATGAAAGTTAGTACAATAACGTACTGCTGATTTTAACATTATGGAATTCGAAGTTGTTATTCTTTTAAGATGCCTATTTTGTTTAATAGTTGATATTTAAAGTCTATTTGAGCCCCCCTTTTAAATTCAAAATACATTTTGAAATGGTATTTTGATGAATAATGTATAATTAAAAAATAAGAAAAAATTTTAGTTTACATGTAATATTATTTTTTCAAAAAAATTTGTGGTTAAAAAAATAAGAGAGGGAAATGTATTTTGAAAATATGAAGACCAAACAAGGGGTTATTTCTTCGAGATACAGAGATTTGTGTGGTCGCCTATACATCTAAACCTGGCCCGGCCCCACTATAAAGTTCCGTTGATCCGTGTCGCTGTTCAACAATCAATATTATTACAATAAGGATACTTGTACAGCCCCCAAGTGCTGTAAAAATTATAGTCCTCTCATATGTGTGGTATCCACGATTATTTTAATCATGGACTCCATGCTTTATATGTGAGAAAGCTGTACAAATTGCTGTATAAGTTGTTGTACATGTAGTAGATTTCATGTTGTTATTATCGAACTGGAAGTATTGGTTCAAGGGGGAAAAAATCAGAATTTAACAAGCCAAGTCATGCCGTGGTCGTCCTTGCAAAAGTCTGGTAGTCATATGTCTTGATTAGAGGAAGCCCCATGATTATAAAATATATATTACCAGTGTACAAAGCTGGAACCTTTATGAGTTCTCTTCTCATTAGAACTGAAAAAGAAAACCTTTCAACGAATGTAAAAAAGAAACATATAATTAAAAAGCAGTTTTAGCTAAGTTCGAAAGGATTAAGTTTAAACTAAATATTTTTCTTATTTTGATTAGAGTTGAAAATAAATCAATTACTTATTTTGACAATAGAATATGAGTTACTTTCAAAATCTGTAGGTAACCTTTCTGAACTCTTAAAGTAAGATAAAGGTAAAATATAATTATTTTGTGAAACAAAAGTTTTGTAACCTATAGCTAATCGTGCTTGAATCATTTAATTTTACTTGATCTAAGTTTAGAGCCAACATACTCCAATCAACTTTTAGACTTACAAAAAGTAAGTGGAACATAATACTTAATTAAAAGTAACTTTTAAACTCACTCAAACATGCTCCAATCAACGTTTTGTTGAATTTAACTTGATCTTTATCTGTGAATATAATCAAAAGCCACCAGCATTCATGGCTGGTGGATCAAGATAATATCAGGATTAAAGTCTTAATTACCAAAAGACTGTAAGAAAAAAAAAATAAAAAAAAAAATAAAAATTCTAGCGACTTCAATTTTTCTTGAAAGAGAAGCTAACAAGGAAATGGTGGCATGAGATTCAACCTCAAATCATCCTTCTCCAAGATCAATCTTGCCTTCTTACTCTCCACAGAAGAAGAAAATTCAGAGTGTAATCTTTTCTTTGATGGGAGTTGCACACCAAACAGCTTTGTATTGCACATTTCGCTATTTGTTGCCGGTCTTTCAAGACTTATCACTGTACTGTTCACGGGCAGTGTCACTCGCTGGTTTATAGAATGTTCAGGTTGAAATATGGCTTTCAAATTATGTTTCGAATTAGTAGATGCCGCCAAAGGTACGGCGGCAGAAGGTTGTGCAGATGAGTTACATGGGAATAGAGAAGGATAAGAATTGCTATGTGCCACTGGCTTCACATGGTTCTGAACGAAGTAAATAATATCATTATATAGTTTTCTCATGTGGGATAATTCAGATATGAGCATACTGTTTCTCTTTCTAAGCTTTTGATTATCTTCTGAAAGCGCAGAGACTGAAATGCTGTTGCTGGTGGTGGTGGCGTTCGCTAAGACGGAGATGCCGGTGGGAGAAGAGAGTGGTGGTGAATCACACCAATTGGGTGGTTGCTGCTCGTCGGAGTCTGATAGTGAGATGCTGACTCGGCTTGTATACTGGGAGAAACTTGGGCTACTGATTGAGTGGCTGAGATGGTGGTGGTGGTGATGGTGATTGAGGTCCACTTGAGGCTGAGCTGTTTTTCTCCGGTGGATCTCACATAACAATTTTTTCTCACCCTTTTTAAAGAAATCGTTTGCAAATTCCCATCTGTCTGGAACAATCTTTCTGAAACCCTAGTTACATCCACAGCCACAATAAAGGGAAAAAAAAGAAAAAGAAAATCAATATATATATATATCTCACAAGAATATAAATTCATGCACACAAATATACATTATTAGAATGTTTGATACGATACTCAAAATAACTACAACCGATAATGTGTTAACTTCTTTCCAGTCGTAGGCAATGGACCTCAACAGATCGGTGATGAACACCCAACGTATCATCATTTTGTAAAGTGACATAGAGTTGAGCATACCAGACATGTAATTACACGTAAGTAGTATGGAAACACTTACATAGGTGTTAAGTTGGCGGACGAAGCTAGAGAAATTGCTGTGCTTGAAATAGTTGGGAAGAAGATCACGAGCAAACTCCGATGGACGCCAAACAACAAAGGTTGTATCATCTTCACCCCAAGAAACTATGTGGTTTGTTGTGGGATCATCAACGAGCTGGTATGTTTTAGTCAAAAATGGAGCTGGGGCTGATTTCTGGGATTCTAAGGATAATAATATGCCTTCATAGTTATCTAGCATTAAATCCATGGAGAATCAAGAATTGGCAGAAAGAAACAAAACACTCTCCAACAATTTCTTTTGGGTTCTTGAAAATAAGAGTGAAAAAGAGGGTTTTAAAGTTTTTTTTTTTGGGGGGTGGGGTGGGGGGTATGAGAGATTAAAGGGAGTGGATTTTTATGAGAAAATTGGACCTTTGGTCCTCAACCTATTTCCTTAGTAACAAATTTGTCCTCAACTTTTAGAGCAAGTTGATCTAACGGCCTTTCATTATAATTGCAATGATGACACAAACTATCGAACTCCTCCTTAACTTATTTCTAAAGCCTTGTTTCAACACGTGAACAAAAATTTAACTCCACAAAATTCAACATATACAAGAGGTCACTTAATGATTTTGAATTATTTTGTCATTAAAGATTAGTTCAGAAACGATGACGAATTATTGAGGATTAACTTGCTACTAGTGTAGTTCATTAGGAACTTGTAGTGACATTTTTTTCATTTTCGTAAATGTGCTAAAGGCTACCTCGGTTATGCAGTGAGAGAGGAATATGTGTTTACTTTTAAATAAGGGCCTTTCAAGACAAACCCGTGACACGCTTTCTCAGGTCAAGAAATTAGAGAAAGAGAGTTGAAAGTGGCACCCATTTGTTCCTTTTCTGTCTTTTTTCGGGAAAAGAAAAAAAAAATTGTGTCTTTTTAATTCTTGTTGATCTTTGATTGTTTGATAATGTTAATTGGTTATTTCATGTATATAAACCATTCTAAACATGCTCTAGTTTTCAGTAGGTGTTAAGGGATAAATATCTCACATCGGTTAAATACCGAAATATTGACCAACTTAAATAGATTTTGGGTCACTCCTCTTAATAAAGTTGACCTTATTAAGATGGACTCCAAATCTTAACATAGTGTCAGAGCCCATTAAATTTCAAAGAGCAATTCGATCCGATTATAAGTCTCAATTAATGAGCAACGGATTGCAAGATTGATTTGTTCAAACGAGTCATCATCTTGCGGGAGCATGTTAAGGGATAAAAATCTCACATCAGTTAAATACGAAAATATTGATCAATTTAAAAAGATCTTGGACTCCTCTTCTTAATAAGGTTGACTTTATTAAGATGGACCCCAAATCTTAACAGTAGGATTTCAAACAAGATAAAATTGTAATGCTTTCTATCCATCATAGCGAAATTCATTTCTTTTTTTCGAGGAGAACTTTATGTTATCTTCAGTGTTGGCTCAAATGTTAGGCGAGTTAAGCCGCCGTATAACGCCTTCAATTTTTAAAAAGTTAGATATTTTTGTCCTTGTATCCTTCTTATGAAAAACTATGTCGGTAATTAACAATATCAAACATAATAATTAAAGATTACAAATGATTTTTTAGTTACTAAATTAAAAACATAAGTAGTTCAACAACTTTAGCTTACTAAAGGAGATTTTATCAATAAATAAATTAATAAAAATTTTAAATTAATTACTAATTGAAATTTCTAACCGGAAAAGAATGAAAATTGAAAAAAAAAAAAATAACTTGTAAGTCGGCAATAGTATACCGAAAGAATAAAATGATCATTAACTATCTAGTTGACGACATTATTCTCGATAAACATTGTTAAAGGTGTGTTGTGATCACCAACCATATCGTTGTTGATAAATTTGTTTGAACAATCAGAATCATAATCGTCATTCTGTCGCCAATCACGGACAATAGTTTTACCAATGATCATTTGCCCTATTAGTTTTTTAAAATTAATCCCAAAAAGACCCAAATTATTTAAGCTACCTTTGGTTTAATGAGATTTATACTACAAAATTTTCATAATTATCACAATCTTCTTTTGTTTGCACTTGAGATTTTAAATAGACATCTTCCTAGTAAATTAATGTAAGAAATGCATGGGCCCTTGACTAATCTAAGATAATGAGTCGTGGAAGGAATGATACGTCTTCTGGAAATGCCCTTTGCATAGGGAAATTTGTGATATGGATAAAGAAATGAAAGATGTAGGAGCTAGTGCACATGAGGGTCCTCTTTTCGTATTGTATTCAGTTTTCATAAATTGAATTAACAATATCGAATAGTACTAGAAATGTTGAATTTTGTAAGTTATACTATTCAGATACGTCTAATACCACATGTCAAACGTAAATGTATATGGAACCAACTTGAACACGCACCTCCCCAACTCAACTTCGAATCTTGACCTAACTCGAAAGTTTGAACAATTTCCTAAAAAGTTTCCGTGAAAGATGAATATCTATGCACCTATTATATGTCCCTAATGAAGCCAATTTTTTGAAAGGACATTTTTGTCTAGTCAAAATAAAAAGTGATCAATTCTAAAATTTTTAATTTAATTGGTTCTTTATAGCAATCAAATATCTAGCTAATATAACTTTATTAAAGTTTTTCTCCTTCCAATTCCACTTCTCTTTCACCGTATCATCCTACTCCAGCGCACGATTCTTTCTTAGGAAAGCATCACGAAAACAGAAGGAAAGAGAAAAGAAAAGCAAAAGAAAGGATAGGAACTAAGTTACACAAAAAGTTTTTGTTGAAAACTCCAAGAAATAGTAAGCTAATATCAACATCGTGAGCAAAAAATGGTTATTTGCAGAATTTTAAAGAAAACCACCTTATTTCATTTCGTCGTGAACTTAATATTCATCGATTAATTTTTGACATGTTACTCTAGATATAGATATAGGGACATGAAATGGCCCAAAGTGTAACAATAGGAAAATAATGAGGAATTATTATCCTAAGATACACAACTGATTATATGATCATGGTTTTGCCACTCATTATATTGCAAAAATCTATTGCACTATTACAAGTACCCCACGACTATAATTATTTTTATCTCTTTCATTGTTTTTGGCCGTTATCCACATTCATTAATTTCAAATGAGTTATAATGAGCTGAAACTTGTGTTATCTTGCTTAACAAGCAAAAAATTCCATTATAGTAAACTATTTTCTTTGGTGATGATGTAAGTTCATTATTTATTACATCACTAGCATGTTTTCTAAATCTTTGCTGTAGTCGTTTTCCAATTTTCCCCCTAAATCTCTACTGGTGTTATAACATCGATTTAGTATGGTGCTAAGTATCATTAAACAAATGTGCAATTAAATGAATCACATGATTTTACTGTCTTACATTTAATTGATTGCATCACATATTATCAATTAGGGTCCATTTGATAGTGAAGGTGGAAAATGCAAACCAATTCCATGTAACTTGGAAAAGAAAAAACCACCAAACCCTAATAATTCAATTTCCATGAAATTAGTCAAAAACATGCTTTAAATGTTTGTAACTTGAAATTTGGACTCCATTTCCACATTCGTATTAAACAGCCAAGATAGAAAACGAATTCCTCATATGTGACATTTTTTATGGAATACGACGCTATTAAACGGACCCTTAATATTTCAACATCGCGGATGCTATATTGCATTATTCTTGAAGAAAATACTAGTGACAGTCAACCCACCACCTTGCACGTGACCCAATACACTTAGAATGGGAATTTCCAGGACAGACAGGTTAAAGAACACACTCAATACCAATAAAAAATAGTAATCTACTCCGAAATCAAGATTCACAATAGTGACAAACAATCCATTTACTATGTATATTTAATTGATTATCCTATATTAATATATATATTATTTGGTGAGAATTAAAATCAAATTTTTAGTAAATTTTGATAAAAGTTAATGAAATGTAGAGTTGAAAAATTATGAATTCTATGAAATGTGTGATTAAAATTAATTGTTGGCTTTAATCTAGATTAAAATGTAGATTTTAGTCCTTATCAAATAGGGATTATAATACAAAAATATAGCAAAATTTTTTTGTCCGTGTACATACTACTTCTTAGTAACGATTAATGATTGCAATAATATTAATGATTGTTAATATCATCATCAGTAA